TTTTTTTTTATACTTTGCAGAATTAAAAGATGAAAAGTTCTTACAAAGTAAGAAATATTAATATATATTATAGTAAATTTTAAATATTATTACATTTTAAACACCTAATACAATTATTATGTGAATTATGGTTTGTATTTTATAATTTAAAATCCATATTGTAAGTTAATAATTATTGAAAATTTTATATAATTATATAACAAATTTCTTTATAAACATTTTTTTTATAATATTTTCCAGTGATAAGAAAAGAAATTCCCTATATAAGTAATATACACTATATTATTATGTCGTTATATAAGGAAAAAATTAGCTAAGTTTTATTATTATTGGCGTAGTTACTTTTGATCCAATTAAGATTTTGTTGGCACACTGTAATATCTAGTTACCAATAAAATAAAAAAATAGCGTAAAAATGGCTATATTTGCCTTGACCTTCATACTAAATACATACATATCATATATATATATATAAAGGAAGTTTGTACCATTAGAAACTTTTCTATAGCTCAATTTTTTTTGTTCTTTAATAGTGTGTGAACAGTTTCTTGTACCTTAATTATCGATGTACATATGATATCGAAAAAAAAAGTTTTATAACAAATTTCTTTATAAAAATGTTTTTTACAATACTTTGCAGAACCAAAATACGACAAGTTGATAAAAAGTAATAATTTTATTTCTATACATTGTTAAATATTATTATATTTTAAATACTTAATAAAATTACTATTAAACTCCAATACTGGTGTATATGAGCGAAGAAAAATTGCTGACTTAAACAGTCTGTTTAATGCATCCAATTTAAAAGATTTTTTGAAGTCGAAAAGGTTAGTGGGCTGATCATGTATGGTGTGCAGAGGGTGGACTGATAAGACAGGTACTCATCAATAAACCAAATAAAAACTGTCTGTGGAAAGGCCAAAAGACAACGGTGGCTGGACTGAGTAAGGATTACCTGATGAGATTACACAATGGAGCGTGTATTGAGAACGCAAAAAATTGAGAAGTCTGAAGAGTTTTGGTAGAAGCTGCAAAGCGTCTAAATTGTACGTGAATCAAAAAAATAAAGTTACTATGAGAATTTCAGTTTGTTTTTTATAATTTAAAATCCATATTTTAAGTTAATAATTATTGAATATTTTATATTACAATATAATAAAATGTTTAAAGGTATGCAAAATCAAAAAATTAAGAAAATTATTTAACAAATTTCATTATAAAAATATTTTTTATAATGCTTACCAGGTATAAGAAATGAATGGCCCAACAATAGTAATATACACAATATTATTAATTTTATTATGTCTAATAGTAGGAAAAAAATTATCTGTTGTAAATAATTGTTGGATAAATTACTGTCGACCCATCTAATATTTTATTAGCACAACTATAACATCTAATTCCCGATAAAATGAAGAAATAGCATAAAAATGACTAAATTTGACTTATTTACTACCTTACTAAAATCACTCATATACATATCTATAAAAATGAAGTTTGTACCGACGGAAATATTTCTATAGCTTATTTTTTCATGTTCTTTAAAACTGTGTGAGTAACATCGTGTACCTTACATAAGGATATACAATATCAAAAATATAAAAAGAATTTATAAAAACTTACTTCATAGAGATTTTTTTTTATAATACAACTGTAATAACTAGTTCTCAAGTATAATTAATAAATAATTTAAAATGGGCTAAATTTACTTTGACCTTCTTCTAAAAAAATGATCCATGTACGTATAAATAATAGATAAGTTTTGTCGTAACACAATAAAATAAAAAGAATCGAAGTGTTTGAGCTATTGGCTCAAATTCCAACCTTATTTTATACTCTAGATCTTTCCACTTGATTTGGCCGACAGTGTTTTCTTCTAGATTTTCATAGAAGTGTAAAGCCGTACCTTCCAAGAAGGCTGGTAAAAACTGAACTTTTTCTTCATCGCTCCATTCTTTTATGATACTGGCCCTCTTGTATGGCTTAAGAAACAGGTCTATACTCTCGTGAACTTCTCCCCTAAACTGACCTGGCTAAAGAATAGCTTTCTACGGTTCTTGTTGTCATCACTAGCCATGTTTTTGGTGTGTAATACGGTAAAAGATTTGTTAAGATCTACAAAGAAATCTTCCGGGTGCCACTGACTTTTTATGTACCTAACCAAGCGGTCTCTCTTTTGCTCTAGAGTGCCGGCAGTGGTTAGTTTTCTCTTGTTTAGTTCAGATATGGCTTCGTCCGTATTCAACTTATGTGCCCAACCTGTCTTGTAAGATAAACGTTCGTTTTCTTCTGACGGTGTTGGATTAAGCACTATGAGTGATTTTGTGTATTCTTCTTTGGCCATCAAGTGTTGGATAAGTTGGTTTAATAATAATTTTTATTATACTATAACAACAACCCTAACGTAATATATACGTTACCTTTGTTGGGCGCCACTCTGTCGAAACACAATAAAATAAAAAGAATCGAAGTGTAAATGTAATTGTGATGCGAAGATGAATATAAGGATGTGATGCCTGCTGTCTAGGTATTCACGCGTGTGTTGTCGTACAGCAGTCACCGTGCTCGGCTGACACTCCGGGTTAGCTGTGGGTGTCGAAAGGCTGTTGTTATAGAAAGGGAATCAGGGTAACACCTAGATATGAAGTGCAGACGAAGTGCAAGACACAAATACTTTGGGTATAGGAGAGGACAAAGAACAGGGGTAGCCGAGTATGAGGTGCAGACGAAGTGCAAGACACAAATACTAGGCGTACCAGGTGAGGAAAAATAACAGAGTACGAGGTGCAGACAAAGTGCAAGACACAAGTACTCTGAAATGTTGTGGAAGAGAGTAGACAGGTTTAAAAAGGAATAAACAAAGACTTTACTTTAAGCAGTAAGCCGGACAACGACAACCAAGTACTGAGACTGATGAATGACACAAGGCACTGGAGTCGACTGACGACGATGGTCAGGTCTATTGGGTTTTTATAATAATTAGAATTATTGCCAATTTGGCAATAAATATTATTTGTTAATTCATTAGTCTCAAGAAGCGGATGTGCTGTCTGTATTTTATTAAAATAATTCTCACAATAATGGTAACGTGACACCATCACAGTTTGTACCCTAGGGGACATTTCTGTAGCTCACTTTTTCATGTTTTTAAAGAGTGTGTGTGTACCTTAATTATCGATGTACAATATCAAAAAAATTAAAAATATTTTTATAACAAATTTCACTATAAAAATGTTTATTATAATACTTTACAGTGGTTGAAAAAGAAATGTACTACACAAGTAAGAAATTATGAAATACATTTTTTTAATTCAATAAAATTATTATGAGAATTTCAGTATATATTTTATAATTGAGGAACCATATTTTTAGTTGATGATATTTGAATATTCTATAATTCATTTTTAATATTGAATAAATACAATTAAAAACACTAACATAAAATTATTTACTTCTTTAGCGCAGTTTATATAATTTAGCTTTGATGATTAAAAACGATGAGTTTATTTTTTGTCTACCCATGAAAATTCTCAAGTCTCACTGGGTCGAATTCATTGGTTCTTTAGAACTCGAGTTTTTTCTAATTTAATCTAAAAACTTGTATACCCCTCAATGTCATCAAAAATAAAACTAAAAAACCCAGCACAGGGGGGTCGCGGCACAGTGGTGACGTGGCATAGTTGGATCAAGTATAATGATATCTGACAGTGATTAAAATCACTATAAAAAAAAAACGCTTCGATGCAAATCTTTAGATAGTGTTTAATTTTAAAAAATTGGTGGATTATTTCAAAAGCTTCATAAACTGTTAGTTCCTTATTAATATCCTGATTAAGATAAAGTATGTCGAATGAAAAAGGGATTATTAAAAAATATTGTTATTTCTCATAAAGTAATGTTGATCCATACACTTTTCAATATGTCATAGCATTATAAAGTTAAAAATGTAAAAAATAAAATCGAGAATTTTCACACAAAAATAGCATTCGGTAGCCATTTTCACCGTGAAGATAAAATAAAGTCCGAAATTTTTTTTTNCGAAGATAAGTCCAAAGGTCAAATTTTTTTTTTCCATAATAAAGAACATTACATTAGCTTTAATTTAAGATATATATAAAAATATCAGACCTTCCGGAACACTTTCAAAAGTTAAGTTGAAAAAGTTAATTTTTTGTAAAAAAGTTGTCATTTTAAATCCCCTCCTGTGGGCAGGTTAAGTGTCAGATTTATAAAAAAAATACACCATATGATAGGTAAAGACATCATGCATCTATAAAAAAAAGGTATATTGATTTAGTTATTTTAAAAAAAGTTATGGCAATTTTAAGTAAAAAAAATAGAAAATATTTCGAAAATTAGCGATTTTTAAATATGTAATCTTTTTGGAGGATTCCCCCATTTACGGGGAACGAGAGAATTTTTTTCAATTTTTAAGGGTAATGTCTTCTACTAGATACGATTTGTGATCTTTTGACGTATCATTGAAAGAAATCGGTTCGGTGAGAAAAAGTGTTAACAGACACACACAAAAAAAAAAAAACACATCTTAGTAAAATAATACCTTCTCAGCTTCGCATCGAAGCTAAAAAAATATTTTTTGCATTTTAAAAATATTATAGTTTTTAAAAATTTTCTTCTTTAATGAATTTTAAAATAGGTATAGGAGACATTAAACATTCTTTTGGTATACTTTTTATGATTATTTAATGAAAAATCTAAATACAAGAAGGGAATTTTTTTTTTCAGCTTTAAGTTTAAAAATTTTCTGAAACATCCTTCTTATTTTATACTATATTTGTTTTAGCTTCGATGCGAAGCTTAGAAGGTATTGGTTTTACTAAGATGTGTATTTTTTTTTTTTTTTTTTTTTTTTTTTTTTTTTTTTTTTTC